AGGATAACCTAAATGCCCTTCCCCTATAATGAGACTGATGACTACGTTTTCTGTCATCCTAGAGCCCTCATCCAGTGACTGATAAAAGCAGAGGCAGACATCCACAGATAAACACTTAACTGAACTCTGGAACCTAGTTGCAGAGAGGGAGGAATGAAGATCAAAGGGGTCAGTACCAGGCTGGTGAAACCCACAGAAACAGTTGGCCTGAACAAGGGGGAGCACATGGACTCCAGACTGCTGTCTGGGAGGCCAGCACGGGACTGATCCAGACCCCTGAACATGGATGTCAATTAGAAGGTCTCTGCACTTTAGGGGGAACCTGGTGGTGGATTAGTATTTTTCCCTGGTGTAAGAAGGGACTTTGAGAGCCCATCCCACCTGAAGGGAGGCACATGTGAAGCAAGCTTGTTCCTAATTTGAACTAATAAAAAAAATAAGAAAAAAAGTCAATTCAGCTGATAATCTACCTGTCAACAAGGGAAGTATTAAATATGTGGGTTGTAGATGCATCTGAACTTCCTATATTACAATCACAATGTGTCTATGAACTTAGAATTATTCTAAAATAAGAAGATTATTTTGGAAATAACTCCCAGCCAAGACACAGTAATGCATACCTGCATGCCAGGCAGGAGGCTCATTATTTGGAGGCCACCTAAGTTACATACAAGAGGTCCTCTCTTAAAAAGGAAAGCAAGACAAGAACCCATAACACAAAGAAAAACAAACCAAAAAGAAAAATCATACAGGTGGGAAAATGTGAAGATCTCTCACACATATATTCCATGCACTTAGCCATTTTTTCACCCCTTTATGAAAGGGGCTAATATACAAATTAGTTAGAAAACAACTAATTTTATCTTATTTATCTTTGAAACAGTCTCATATGTATGTGAGGATGATTCTTCTGCCTCTTCCTTCCAGGTGCTGGGATTATAGACCTGGGGCATCATGAACGCTTTATACAATGCTGAGGATAGAACCAGAGTTTTGTGTATTCTACACAAGTCCTGAACCAACTGAGTGCCATTGCCAGCCTTTCACCATTTACCTGGATTAAGCAGCTGTTTTCAGAGCTGGGTGGCCACTAACACAAACTAGGTAATGAGATCTTAAGCATACCACACAAAACCAAGGCTAATGATGAAATGGCTCCTACACAGTGCCCTGGCAGTCGGCCCTGGGATGGTGTGAACACATAGCCCAACCAGCCTTGCCCTAGATATCATCTTCTAAAAGCAGGTTTAATTGCTGGGCAAAATCGACCTCATTGGACTTGGTAGTTGCTTTCGCACACTGTTTTCTAGAGGGAAAAAGCTACCGTAATAGTATTGAATGAACAGGGCAGTGGAAAAGGCCATTTTATTCCCAAAGATGGATGTTTTAAATCTGGGGCCCGAGGCTATCTGGATCTTTCCGCTTGAGATCATGGGACGCAAAAAATCAAGTCATAGTGTTAGAAAGCAGAAAGGCTACTGCGCATTTAAGAAATCAGCGTGGCTCCCACGCGCCTTGCATTGCTTCCTAGCTGGTTCTAGCTGGTTATGAAGCTAGCCTCGCCCTCTTTTGCTTTGTCCTTGAATATGTAAACAGCAATATGGCCACTCAGAGGACAGTGAGGAACTTCCTCACTTCTGATCACAAATTGTATCCTATCTTGATACCTGATCATGATTAATCCATTTAAAGCATCATCAGTCATGTTCCATAATTCTTGGATAGGATATTGACCCTGTGGGTCGCATGTTTGCTTCTAGAACATTCTAAAAGGAAGTCAGGCACTCATTTATCCGGCATAGTTTAAATGAGTCTTCTGGGCTGAAGGAGAAAAGGGGGAAGGTTTATCAGTCTCTCCCATTTCTCAGGATGGAAGGAGGGAAGGTTTAGTTGTCCCTCCCCAGGCTTTCACAGGTAGGGCAGGTCTCCTCACCTCCCCCCACGCTGCAGGCAGGGGCTCTACCGGAGGGTAGTACTTAGGCACATCCCAGGCCACCGCAGCCATGAACCATTTGAAGTCTTTGCACTTGAGTCGCTTGCGCAACTCCTTCTGGGCAGAGATGTCTCCCGTGGAGAGGTGCCTGTACTCTGGCCGCCGCTGGTAAATGTACTCCGCGAATTCATCCATCCAGGTCTCAGCCACCCTCTTCAGGTTCTGTACAGCAGAGACAAGACAAAGAACAAGTTAGTTATTGGCTTCTACGCCCCCAAAGGATCATTTTCCTTGCATCAGAAACCGAAAAGAGAAAAGTAAAAGAAACGAGGTGTCTGCAGGCAGCACTGGCTGGAGGGTTATTAACAGTGGGAGTTTTCACACTGACAAGAAATGTGATGGGATTAGACCATGGCTTAGCGCTAGTTCTGCTTCCGGCCTGGGGTTCAGCTGACAATATGGTAATTAATTACCAGAGCTGGCTGACACTCTTCTCACAATTATGGCAAATTCCCTCCTGTTATTTAATGTTGATACATACTTTTTACATAAAACTGAAGGAGTAGAAACTGGAGAGAATGCAACTCCCCCTAGGTATCTAATTACTTAAAGCATTTCAAGATACAGGCTTCTTGGAAAGATTAAGGAAGAGTAAGATACTATTCTTCCCTCCCCCAAGTGTAGAGAGACTTAATTTTTTTTCCCTGATACTGTGACATGGACGCCAACCAGAATTGAATAATTTTCTGTGTTTGGAAGTGGAAGGAAGGGAATTATTGGAGAGCCAATCTCTCTACAGGTGCTTCCGGGGTGGGGTGGGGTGGGGGGAAGAAGTCAGGAGATGAATGGTAGGAAAATGAACATGTTCCTTAGGATTAGAAGAGCTGTGGGTTGGGAGTAGGAGGGCCACTTTTGGTTTTGTTTTTGTGAGAGGGTCTCACTATGTAGCTCTGACTGTCCTGGAACTCACTGTGTAGACCAGTCTGGCCTTAACTCACAGAGATCTACCTTCCACTGCCTCTGGAGTGCTGGGATTAAAGGTGTGCACCACCATGCCTGGCCTGGAAGGCTATGCTTTTGCTGGCTTTGGGGTTGAGCCAGTTGGTTAGCCACATGGGTTTCAGATCCTAAACCCGAGATCTGCAAGAGCGATGCATGGGGTGGTTGTAGGACTATGTGAAACAGTACTTCTTGTAAACCACTTGGAGTTACAACACTCTAGTTATTATGAAAAATAAGCTGCTATTAGGAGTAGCAGAAAGGGCTCAGGATTGGAAATGGAAGAGTCTGGGTATTAGACTAGCCACTATGACTCGGGTCTCTGAGAAGGAAGTGGAGGGGAGATGAGATGACATCTCTTCAAATTCTATGGCATTCAGTGCCATCTGCATTCAGTGCCAGCTGCATCTGCCACCATTTTTATAGGTTGGTGTCCCATGGAGTCTGGTTGTTGATCTTTCCAGCTTAAGTTCTTTATTTTAAGGGCTTGGTTTGTGAAAGCAGTGGTCTGATCCACGTTCTCACTTGCTCTGAGAGAACGGAATGACCATAATGGCTGGGACTGTCAGTAAGAACCTAACATTGTGATTAGAATAAAAACTAGTCACTTTATCTCAAAGAATTTCTATGGAACCTTAAGTCAGATATGAACCCTGAGGTCTGCTGGAGACACGGTTGTATTTTGTTTTTCATGGGACTGGACAGTCCAGTCCACTATCTTCAGAGAGAACACTTTCCTGCCTTGTCCTTGCTTCACACCCTCCTCAGATTTCTTGGCCATGTTTTCTAGATGGTGAGCACTGGGATGGGATCAGTTACTAGAGCATCATATGTAAAGAGAGCCACAACACTGCTTTCATTGCTTGGCTTCCCTGTTTGCTAAGATTCTGGTGTATAATTAGGCTCATAGTGAATGATACTAAGATTGTAAGAATTACTCCTGAGACATTCAATTTGTTTTTCTTCGCTTCCTATTATCCCATCAGTATAATCTCACACACGTTGCCTTCCTCTTTTACTCCAGTGACCCCTGGCAGGTGAAAGGAACCCTGTTTTGTGATACTCCACCTTCACCACTGATTCTTTACTGCCTAGTTCATTAGGGTTCTGTACTGCCCAACTGATTAGGGTTCCACACTGCCCAATTGATTAAGGTTCTGTCATTAGGGTTCATACTACCCAATTCACTAAGAAAGGAAGCCAATGATTTTTGAGGGGGCCTTTGGTCTGTGATGGAACTGTCTACCCCATGCATACATGGAAGTTTCTGAAGACGCTAAAGACATGTGTGGGTCTTCAGTGCCTTTCTAATTTCCTTTTATATGACGTTTCTGTAGGAAATGCATTTGATGTTCACTTGTCTTCAGATGACTTTAACAAAATCATTAAAAAGTTAATGTGGATAATTTTAAAACTTGGTAATCAAAATTCATGTTAAGGTGCAGCCCTCACAATCCCTCAAATTATAATGTAGAACACAGAAGTATTGGACACTTGCCTATTTTATGTCTTTATGATAAATGAAAACAGCTAAAAAATTGGAGAAAACAAAGATAAAGAGACAAATGTGCAAATTACTCACAACAATGAGAAAAAACAAACTTTATGAAAAGGTATATGTATATGTTTTATATTACAATAGCTTGCAAAAAGGACTTTTCATGAAGGAATTTATTTTTATTTGAGTAAAAGAACAATTTCAATTTTAAGTGCCAAAGTTAGAAATAAAAAAAACAAAAACAAATAAACACTAAAAACCAAACACAAAACCCAGATAATTTGTTGTATCATACTCTAGCAGCTGAGGCTGATGGAAAGCTTTAGATATAGCAAGAAACTATTGCCCTGGGTAGTACAACATATACATTCTAATGATACTGACCATAGAGTCACTGTAATCCAAAACATTTGGTGTGATATTGGGTGAACATACTTTAAAAAATATGTATTCTACTAAATTGGAAACTCTAACAGAAATGGATGAATTTTTTGACATATGCCAAAGTTAAATCAAGATTAAATAAACAATTTTAGAAGATCCATAACCCCTAGTGAAATAAAGGCAGTAATTAAAAAGTTCCCAACAACAAACATCTGGGTGCAGATAGACTCAGTGGAAAATTCTGTTGGACCTTCAAAGAAGAATTAATGACAACACTCCTCAAATTATCCTTCAAAATATTAATGAAGGGACACTTCCTAATTCTTTTTATGAGACCACTACTCCCTTAAATCCAAAACCACAGAGGAACTCAACAGAAAAAGGAAATTATAGACCAATAGCTTTATGAACATAGATGCAAAAACTCTCGATAAAGTACTTGTAAACCAAATCTACAAGCGTATCAAAAACATTATCCACAATGATCAAGTTGTCTTTACCCCAGAGATACAGGAATTGTTCAACATACACAAATAGATAAACCCAATCCACCATATAATCAGACAGAAAGACAAAACCACATGATCATCTCACTACATGCTGACAAAGCCTTTGACAAAATCCAACACCCCATCATGATAAAGGTCTTGGAGATATCACGGATACAAGGAACATACCTCAACATAATAAAGGCAATATACAGCAAATTCATAGCCAACATCAACCTAAATAGAGAGAAACTCAAAGAAATTCCACTAAAATCAGGAAAAGGGCAAAGCTGTCTACTCTTTCCATACATATTGAGTGTGCTAATTGAAGTTCTAGCTAGAACAATAAGACAACTAAAGGAGATCAAGGGGATACAAATCAGAAAGGAAGAATTCAATGGATCTTTATTTGTGGATGATATGATTCTAGAAATAAAAGACTTTAAAAACTTTTCCAGGGAACCTTGACAGTTGATAAGCACTTTAAGCAAAGCAACAGGATACAAAGTTAACACAAAAACCAAGAGCCCTCCTATATACAGATGACAAATATGCTGAGAAAGAATTAAGAGAAATAGTACCTTCAGAATAGCCTCAAAAATATATCCTGGGATAACTCTAATCAAGTAAGTGGAACACTTTAATAATAAAAACTTAAAGATATTGAAGAAAGAAATTGAAGAAGACCTCAGAAGATAGAGAGATCTCCCATGCCTACAGATGGGTAGGATTAATATAGTAAAAATGGTCATCCTACCATAGGCAATCTATAGACTCAATGCAATTCCAATCAAAATTCAAACACAGTTCTTTTCAGAAGTAGAAAAGACAATATTCAAGTTCATATGCAAACCTCACATATACACACACACAAACACACACAGACACTTCCACCACCAAATGACAACAAAACAATATCAACAACAGCAACAACAAAACCCTACCCCAGAACCAGAATAGTTAAAACAATCCTGAATATGAAAAAAAGTGCTATAGGTGTCACCACCTGAGATTTTAAGCTGTATTACAGAATTATAATAATGAAAATAACATGTTATTGACATTAAAAACAGAGATGTTGACCAATGGAATTAAATTGAAGACTTTACAAAGAAGCCAAAAACAACAACATCTTCAATAAATGGTGCTGGCTAAACTGGAAGACTGCATATAGAAGAATGCAAATACAGCCATATTTATCACCCTGCACAAAACTCAACTCTGAATGTATCAAGAACATCAAAATAGGACAAGATACCCTGAATCTGATAGAAGAGAAAGCAAGTCATGCTTGAACTTGGAATAGATTTTCTTACTTTGGGGGGAAGCCTTCTGAAGCACTTATTGTTATGGTGAAGGAACAGCCATTATTCCCAACTCTTTCAACTGATTGGACAAATAAAATCACTCCAAGGCCATTATTCTAGAAATAACAGCACACAGTGTTCATTTGTGGCTGTAATCATAATTCAGTACTTAGCTTTTGGAAAAATATTGGAACCACAGCTGAAAAATGTCACAGGCAGTTGCAAGAAGAATTTCCATGGTCTTTTTATAGACTGTAGCACAAATTCCACTGTTGCAGGAAGTAGTTATACTCACATGCATTACAGTGCACTGGCATGTTTATACAGGAGCACAAACACACACTTCCAAATGTATGGCAGTAAAGGGAAGGTGCAAAGGAAGACTTCTCACTTAGGCATTCATAGCTATGCAAATGTGCAAAATCATGAAAGTGAGACATTCCAATAGAGTCTCTTGCCAGGGGAGCTCTTGCCAGAACTTTCCCATCTGTCTCCGAGATAGAATGAATGCTGATGATGGTGCTTATGTGTCCAAAGCATAGTTAT